AGATCGCTCATTGATTTAGGCGCTAGCATTAATCTTATGCCTTATTCCACTTATAAAAATCTTGGGTTAGGTGAGATTGAACCGATGGCTATAACTCTTCAATTAGCCGATAGGTCTTTAGTTTACCCAAAAGGTATTTTAGAGAATGTGCTAGTAAAAGTGAACAAATTTATCTTCCCTATTGATTTCGTTATACTTGATATAGATGAAGATAGGGAGATACCTCTTATTTTAGGAAGGCCGTTTTTAGCCACGTCGAAAACTCTAATTGATTGTGCTAGTGGTGATCTTACAATGACGGTGCATGATCAAACGATCAAATTTAATGTTTTTAGTGCTAATAAAAATCCATGTGATAATAATGATTGTTTTGCTATTGATCTTATGGATTTTAGAAATCATGAAAATTTTGAGGTTTTGATCTTGGACCATGGGAAAGCATCTTTGAGTGCAGGAGATGATGGCGGAAACGGGAGTTGGAAGGAGCAAGTTTATTCTATGAACTCAATTTCAACTCTTCCGAGAGATAGTCACAAGAGTTGGGGTTTTAAAGACGATGTTGGCAAGCCTCATGGAATCAAGAAGAATAAATTCAAGGGCATTCCTAAGCGAACCAGTCGAAAGAAGAATCGGATCAACCCATTTATTCAAAACTTTCTCCAAAAAGAAGTAAGGAGATGGGTTCAAAAACTAAGGAATTGAAGAGCAGGAACAAAGTCTGGCTGAAGACTATAAACTTAGCGCTTCTCGGGAGGCAACCCGAGATTTTCGTTTTTTTTTTATTTTTCTTGTTTTATTTTATTTATTTATTTTATAAGCATGCAAGATAACACTTTAAGCATATTTTTAATTTTTAGGTCAAGAAATTGCAGCTCTGGAGCTCATACGGCCGTCCCAAAACAAGGCCTAAATCTCATACGGCCGTGTGGAAATCGGAAAAAGCTACTGCCCAATTTTCACTTTGGGCACGGCCGCGCGAGAAAAACACTATAATCTCACACAACCGTGCGAGAAACAGACAGCTACTGCCCCAATTTTGAAATTCGCACGGCCGTACGAAAATCAATTCAAAACTGACACGGCCGTGCCAGATGGATAGAAACACAATAAAAGGTGAAAATTTCAACAGCCCGAAGATGGCCATGTCGACTAGTCAGGTGTTTTCTATCCTTGAACTTCGTGCTAATTACATTGAGGGCAATGTAAATTTTAAGTTTGGGGGTGGATAATTACTTGCTTTTATGTGCTTTAATTTTTTTAGTTTGCATGTTTTAGGATTTTTTTTTTTTTTATGTTTAGTTGTTTTGGTTTATTTATTGCTTTCGAAAAAAAAATTGTGTTGAGATAAATGCTTCGATGAATCATGATGATGAAAGATGGTTGATGTTTAATGATGAAATTGCTTGTTTTATCTTGATTGTGATTGAATTTTGGTGAGCTTTTGATTCAAAGTGTCGTAGGAAGGAGTCACTGTTAGGAATCATGAACTATGCCTTGCTTTGGTTGAAAGTTTTGTGTTTTAAAACGTGAAATTAATTTATGCTATATCATATGCTATTCGGTTTGATAACTTGCCTTAGGAATTTACAAAGTGAAATATTAAATTCTTGAGCAATTTGGGAAGTGATTTGGGCCATCTTTGAACCGTTTGAGCCTTTCAAGCCTACCTTTAAATTTTTATCATTCGAACATTGATTGAGCCTTGGAGAAACGGTGTTCTTTCTTTTAGCCAATGTGTATAAGGTATAATAAATGGAGATTCTTGAAAAAATTATCCTTTGAAGTTCGGTTGGAAAATTTTATAAGGTCCTTCTTCTTCCTCTTCGAAAAAAAAAAAGAGAAGAAGAACAAAGAGAGTTGAAGAAGAGACTAGAAGGGAGATGAAATGACTAGTTTTTTGTTTTTTTTTGAATGGAAAGGAGATGAAAGGACTAGTTGTTGAATTTATTTTTCGAAAGCTCGATCCATTGTCTTAAGAGCAAAAGTGGAGACTTTTGAACTCTTAAGAATCGAGTTTATTAAAAGTCCTTAGAGGTGAATTCATTGTTTCAAACGCTTATCTTTCAAAATTTGGCGTAATCACCTCAATTCAAGAAACATAGACACATATACCCATATTTCCTACCTCGAACCAAAAAACCTAACATTTGAAAGCCAAAAAGTCTCAATGATCTCAATAGCTCAATTATTTGATACTAGCCGAGTAGAGAAATTTGGTAAGTCTTTGGAGTTGAATATTATTATGTAAGTATAAATTTTCTCCATTTTTAATTTGCAAATATGGGATATTTGAAGCGATAGCATGGTTTGTGGTTTTTGGCAAACGGTGAGTGAATACGTATCTTTGAATTACGAGCTTGTAAATTTTTGAGAATTGTCATGATAATTGCAAGTTCTGAAAACATGAAAGTTGACCATAAATCTATGTGATGAGAGGCATTTGTTGAAAATGTTGCTTTGATAGTTGCTAGTTTTTGCTTGAGGACAAGCAAAAGTTCAAGTTTGGGGGTGTGTTGAGTGTGTATTTTACACTCAATATATACTTTCTTACGAGGATTTTTGTATACTTCTATTGATTTAATGATGCTTAATGAGTGGTTTATTGTATTTTAGGTACAACTTGACGATTTGGAAGTTCCAAGGACGAACCGAGCCAAAAAAGGTCAAAAACGGGCAAAAACGGAAGAAAACAAAATATGCTGAAAATTGGCTGAAAAATGCCCGCGCGGTCGTGCCAAATTTAGCCTATTTTTGGCACGGCCGTGCCAACTGCAGAAGTTGGGCAGAAGGTTTCGGCGATTCTCGTGCGGCCGTGTGAGATTTTAACTGATTTTCGCGCGGCCGCGCCGAAACACGCTGGAGACAATTTTGGACTTTTAATCACACAAGGAAACCTAGAATCATCTACCAAGTTGGGACATCTATTTAAGGGCAAACCAAGCACGAATTAAAGGACTTTTGACACAACCTTGGAGCGAGAGGAGCGAGAGAACGAAGAATCGAAGACGGAGAATTGACAAATCTTCATCACAATTCTTCTTTTATCTATCTTTTCTTAATCTATGTCTTTTTATATTTCTATTATGTTTTTCGTAGAGAACATGAGTAGCTAAGTTTTTAATCTAGGATTTTGTTGGAACCCTATGTGGGGATGGTGAACCCGTTTTCTTGAGATTATGCAATTATGATTTTATGATTATTTCTTATACTTGTTATGATTGTTAGTGCATGAACTTGATCAATTTATGTGCTTTATCTGTGATTATTGGGATTGACTCGACAGAGCTATTTTGATAATTAGACGGTAAGTATAAGAACCTTCGAGTAGTTTTCACCGGATGAGTGTGTCAATTGCATGTGGTGTCGTAGACATACAGATATCACCTTAGGTAGCCATTTACGAGACTTGTTAGTTAATGCTTTATTCATAATTTATTTGCATAGACATATAGTGAACCGTTTATGAATAATAGACTCATAATACACACGACAGCGGGTTATGAGTAAATTAGTGTCTCGGGTTAATAATCATGAATCATATATTTCTCAATTGAGGGGTTTTGAGTGAGCAATTCTTGCATAGGGGAAGATAAAATCCTAGGTCCGTTTTTATTGATATTTTCTCGTGTTTAATTGTTTTCATAATTAGTTTAATTATTTAGTTGACTAAATTTGACAACCTTGCGTAGGCTGGATAAAAATCGTAATTGTTAGAATTTGGTACTTAGGATTAGGTAATTTGAGTATTCCCTGTGGGATCGACATCCGACTCTCACGAGTCCACTGTTACTACTTGTTTACGATACGTACACTTGTGTGTTAGGTATTTAGCCCCAACTATAATCATCTTGGTGGAGGAGGGAAAAGGGCCCTCCTAACACCAGCACCACTGCCCCTCTGCATCCCATCACCTTGCCCCTGTTTGTGCTTGGCATATGGCCCAATGTGCTTGCATAGCCACATATGAAGTCAAAGTCCATGTTATTTAAAGTTAATTTTTTTTAGTTTTCTCTCCATCTCACTTGCATGATTCATATATTTTTTGACAAATGACAATTGTAGTGTGCTAAAAGATACTCAATTTCCCTATCGAAGTTAATGACCAAACAACAAAGTTTAAAAAGGCTTGAACGTACTTTTTAACTTGCCTATATATCCTTTTATTTAAAGAATCAAAACCACACTTAGTTCTAATATTGAAGTATTAAAATTGAATTGTATAAAATTTACCCTTACTCTTGAGGGAATATTATTGTCCAAATTGAAGCGATTTCATTGTACGCATTGCGCGGATGTCTTCTAATGATTGAACCACACTTAGTTCAATATTTAATATATTTAAACTCGTCTTGGGTAGAAGTTGGCATTTGTATTTAAGTGGAATTAGTGTTAAATTCCATCGGTTGTTTCTAATGTACACGTCTTTGCACCGAACAATAATCAACTCGGATTCAATCTTGTATGATTTCTATATACCGTTGGGAGAACTTCCCAACGGTCAAATGATCAAGGCTGTTGATTCCAAACAACCGGAGGATCTCGATCGTCGATCAAAGAAATATTAATAACGTCGAGTTTGACTCATCGTTTCCAAACCAAGTCGAAGCGACTAGTCATGGTCAAAATAACCATTGGTAAAATGCTTTAAATCTTGACCATTGATTTTTTTTTTAAATTTGATTAGCGGCCACTTGTTTCCACAGTCCAAACCATCGGTTTTAAATAAGAGATAACCGACGCTTATATGGTAGATCGATTTACGGTTATGGCTCCTATTGAGGTCAACGGTTAAGCAGGATGTTGACCACGGGCCGGTACAGTTCGTGGTCAAGTAAACCTTCACCTATTAATATTGTCACAGAAAACCAAAAAATAAAAGCAAAACATTTTCATAAAAAAACCCAATCCGGGTTCGGGTCTGGTACGAAAAATCCGATTTGAAAGTGCACCTCTCTGAAACCCGACCAACCCCTTCCCTTCAATTTTCCCTGAAGCAAATAAAATAAAACCCCTCTCTCTCTCACTCTCTCTCTCTCTCTCTCTCTCTCTCTTCTCCTGCAATCCAAAACCTCTGCTTCAATGGCTTCGCTCTTTTCTCCAACAACTCGGATGACACTAAGCCCCAATCTAGTTCTAGCCTCTCCTTCTCCTTCTTCTTCTCGCAGACCTTCTCCGCCGACGAGTTTTCTTTCTCCGTTCGTCGGTGGCAGCGTCTCCGGCGACTTTTCGGGTCTCAAGATCCGACCCGCTTCCCTCAGCACACCCTCCAGCTCAAATGCTAAACGTGGCGTTGTCACAATGGTATACTCTCACTTCATATCTATACCCGTTTTTGTTATCTTCTGTCAGAATGTCTTATCTTTTTTTTTTTCTTTTTTTTTTTTTCTTCAAGTTCAATCTGTTGGTTGTAGTGAGATAATTTAGGCGTGAAGCATATGATACTAAATATTTGATTTGAAACAAAATTTTGTTGATAAGACAATACTTTTCTTCTGGTATTGAAATTCATTTTTGTTGTTATTATCTTTGTTCTTTGAAGTAATTCTAGGTAGTGGAATTGGTAATTGGCGTTTGCTTCAGTAATCTATTCATTGTTACATTGTTTATTAGTCATTTTACGTCATAAGACAATGCTTTCCATTTATTGCCTAATGATCTTCGTATTGTTTAGCCCTTGAAAAAAATTATATATAGATATTGATTCAACTCATCTAGCTGCTTCTTTACTTCTTTTTTTTTTTTTTGCTGCAAGTATAGTGTTACAATGCGTTTTGGGTATACATCGATTATTATTATGTAAACCTCTCTTTTTTCTCTTCGTTTTATCTCGAGAGGAGCAATCAAACAAGGAAATGTAGTTAAATAGGTTTGTATCGTATCGCATCCACCCTGATGTGAGTGTACGCCTGAGGATAGAGTAAAGACCATCTATAGTTCGAAACCATTTAGTGACCCAGTTGTTAGAGTCGTTGTTTAGTTCACAGGGTGTGTGCTAGATTGAAGTGTCACTTTGTTGATGTTCCAATACCTTATTGATTGATATCGAATGTTGATGCTACAGCATTCTACTTTACCCAAAGCGAATTGGAAATATTGTCCGAAAAGGGTACTAAATATTGCCTTACTTTTGGGAAATATTGGCCCAAAAGGGTTCATTGGGAATTTTTTTTATTCGATTGGCAACTGCGGTAGTTTGTATGGGCCACTTTGTCCATTGTTGTATTTTCACCCATTTTTCATACACCATGTTAACTTTATGTTTTGTATTGGCAATCACCGGTTTAAGGCACATCAGAGTGAATAATGTGTAACCTTTGCCAGCTAAAGAAAACATGAATTACAGAGGAAGTGCTAAAATTCTTCAAGAATAACTTGAAATTAATCCTCTTTCTGTTGAAGACCAGGTCAAAAAAAGTATATGCTTGGATGTTCCTCGATTAGACTTAAGATTCTTGTGTAGCTTCGTACTCACAAACCAATAATGAGAATGACTAACCAAATAGCAGATTCCACAGCTGCCACCACTAAATCCGATGAAGCAGATAACTGACTCGTCATATAATACGAATAGAGGAAAATACCAAGAAGTTCAAATTCATAGTTAACATTGATTCAATAGGTGTAGACACAATAGGATTATTTCATCTATTTAAGAGTCAAGGATAAATGCATTGGAGATGAGCCGCGGGGTAATAACAAGTCCATGTTTAAGTATACCTTGCATATTATATTATAAGAAGAAGGCGCTCATTGTTTAAAAAAGAAAACTTACCTTTGCATCATATAAACCCTTATAGCCTCTTATGAACATTGATTTCATTATATGAAGGGGTTAGATATATTTCTCGTTTTCTTTCTGTTGATGACATGGGTAGAGCCGCGATCAATTTGCCATTTTTGAAGGTTTGTTGCCTTCATAAACTCCTTGACCTGAGCAGATCTCTTTAAAGATCCGAGTATACTTCCTATAAAATTAGTTCAGATGCAAATGGTAGCATGGGATTCACCCTATGCTAGTAGGTTAGTTTGATAATCAGTTTTGAGAGTATTCCTGAAAAGCGCGTTGTAGTGTACATGAAATTCCGCAGTTCTCTGTATTTGATGTTAAAGAATCTTATATACACTTCGCTAAGTTTTAAGTTTCGATAAAAAAACAACTGTCAATTTTTAATTAGGAATTAATAAAATCAAGTCGAGTATATTCTTTTGTTTCTCTTGTTTGTGTGGCCTTGTGTGTCTTTGTATTAATGTCAAATTGACATGCTTCCTCGGGTTTTCCTTGGATGCTATCTCATACTTCATCCATAATATTTGATTTAGTCCGACTGCCGAGTTATAAACTTAGATCTTACAGTACTTTTTGTAAATGTATATCAAATTTATTTCCCATTGGGGTGGAGGTGAGCGTCAATTGACCACCCCTAAATTGAAGTTGACTAACTTTTGTTCATTGGGTAACAGGTAATTCCCTTCTCAAGAGGAAGTGCTTGGGAGCAACCTCCGCCAGATTTAGCGTCGTATTTGTACAAGAATCGAATTGTGTACTTGGGGATGTCTCTTGTTCCATCTGTTACCGAACTTATATTAGCAGAATTTCTTTACCTTCAATATGAAGACGAGGAAAAACCAATTTACCTCTATGTAAATTCTACTGGGACGACCAAGGTTAGAGCTTTATAGCTTATACATCATTATCTGCTGTTAATGCTTTAAATTTTCTCTCTTTATGCTATTGCCAGCATTATTTTGTTTATAATGTTAATATGTGCACATACCAATTAACACGATTACTATATGCTACATGAAATGGCTCAAATTGTCTTTGCAGTTGCCTCTACGAATGAGGGGTGATTTTGGCAATATACTAAAATTGCATGTCAACTAGAACTCGTCTTGCAGACGCTGAAGTATATTCATTTATTTTTATGCTTCTTCCATGTTAATCATACATTTAACTGGAAAGGAGCATCTGGTAACCAACATTTATCGTAACAAGGTTATCACCTCCTTTCAGCACATTGTGAATTTTTTTCTCTTAGTTATAACGTACTTGCATGAAATGAACCTTTTAATTGGTTCTTTCTTCTACTTTCCAAAACCTAACTCGATTTCTTCTGGTTAATTCTTTTTGCAAATTCTTCTGGTTTCTTCGTTTATGGTCGGTCATCTCATTTGTATGTGTGGAATATAATTTTGATGGGATACTGTTATTATGTTATAAGATATGAATATATGATCTTATTGTCGGAGTAAAACTACTTTGACTATAATACAACGATGTCATTTCTGTTTGGTAAACCCATTTTTGTTCTATGTTTCACTAGGGAATAGGTCACTGTTTTCCGTGAAGTTTAACGAAATGCGGGTTCTGTAATTGTTGGTGCTTGTTTGATTTTTATCATGGATTTAACTAGAAAATCCTGTAATCTTTACTTGGCAGGGTGGGGAGAAGTTGGGCTATGAGACAGAAGCTTTTGCAATATATGATGTTATGAGGTTATTAATCTTCAGCCCATACATCTCACTGGATGGTGACTGTCTTGCTAAAGTTTTTGTCGACTTGGATTCCTTTTGGTATTTCTGATCTCTAAAAATTGTAGGTACGTAAAACCACCCATCTTCACGCTATGTGTTGGTAATGCATGGGGAGAAGCTGCATTGCTATTGGCTGCTGGTGCAAAGGGGAATCGTTCTGCCTTACCCTCGTCCACAATCATGATTAAGCAGGTTGGAATTTAGACATACTACATCTTTTAGTTATGAATTTAATTATATTGAGAAATATATTGCTTTGTTCACTTTATGACAGTATCCAAAATATTACACGGTTGAACTAGAGTTTCTGTTTCGGGGAATTTAGTGGTATTTTTTGTTTGATATTAATTGCTGTGTAATTTTGCAGCCAATCGCTAGGTTTCAGGGTCAAGCAACTGATGTAGAGCTTATGAGGAAAGAAGTTAGAAATGTGAAGGCTGAATTGGTAAAGCTAGCAAAATAATTTCTTCATCCGATATAAGCATCATTTATTTTTTTGTTAATGCTGTTTATTAAGAAATTCATATTCAAATTGAAAGGTAAAACTGTACGCAAAGCATATTGGAAAATCGCCCGAGGAGATTGAAGCGGACATTAGGCGTCCAAAATATTTCAGTCCCAGCGAAGCTCTTGAATACGGAATCATCGATAAGGTACACCACACCGTTTTGTAGAATGATTATTTTGACTTTGCCCTAAAATATGATGTAATGACATTTTCGTTTACGTTTTTAAAAGGTTCTGTACAACGAGAGGGGCAGTGAAGACAGAGGAGTTATGTCAAACCTAAAAAAGGCACAACTTATTTAATGGATTATTTCGCAAGTAGTTGTATGAATGGAAGCATGGCAAGATGCAGTAATTACCCACAAATCGGAGGCTAATTAGATTCTTTGATGTTGGGTAAATGAAGAACAACTTGAACTCAAGAGTGCACTGGCTATTTACGGGGGACGCTAATCCTTTTATTACCAAAACGAAGGTGGTGTGCTTATGTTCTATGTTTGACAATAGTAGGTTACTGAAAAATGTTAAAGATCAAGTGTATTTATTTGTATCCGGTTACTCCAGAGTGAGCTTCAATATGCAAGTCTACTATATAACCTATTAGGTACTCTTGAGAATTCGTGCCTAAATATCATATAGCCGAGCAGATACAAAACACATGCGCTACCTGCTCAAAAAACGAAGGAAAGAACAAAGAAATACACGTGTGCAAATTTATATGTATATACTTGTAAAATTCAGGGAGCTTTTTGATATTTCAAGTTTATAACTCCATTAAAACTTCACCATTTTTTTCACCATAATGCCCAAACCCTTCGTTAAATGTACGTAACAAATTCTTCTGTTTCACTCTAAAAAAATTCTCATCGACACAGGTGAAAAGCAATACTATATCGTCAACAATCGACCACCAGTCCAGTACATGTTAGTAATTTCAATGATTTTATTAATTGTAGACACGTATAGAAAGGGATATCAATGGTACTTTTGAAGTAGACGGAGTTCTTTGCAGCAAGAAGTAGGAGGATGATTTTGCAATTCGAAAAGACGCAAAGGGCAAAAGAAGAAAAAATATAAGCTTTATAATTCTGTAAATTGAAAATTTCGTGTATATATTATCTGCTCTTGAGAGAGCTTATTAAACCCAAACAAATCAACAAATCAGCAAATTATTGCCATGCACAAGTATGTTCTCATCCCCCAACAAAGGTCCTTTGTCCAATAAATGTTGACGATGAGAACAGCTTCGAACGAAATTATAAAAATAAAAATAAAAAAAAAGAAAAGAAAAGAAGGGCTCCTCTCTTCTTTGTGAGCCTCCATATATATTTTTTTAAATATATATATAAACACAATTTTCGATAATGCAGAAGTCAGACGTTGTGCCGCCTGGCAAGAGAAGAAGATCACTCACTGAACCATGGCCATGAAAGAGTTCGATGATGGTGTCTCGCCACCGGAGGAGCTTACGTTATTATTATTATTCTGTCTTTGAAACTGAATCTTGTAAGCCATTTTCATTTCTTCGTCAGTTGTCTTAGCATCAACCTCCTCCTCGTTTTCATCTCCGTAACTGTATTCATCATCATTGATCATATCCCGATCAAGATCATCATCACCATTATTAATAGAGCCGTTAATCTTGTTACTACAACGATTCTCCATCATGATTATTCCTTGTCCTTGTTGATTATGTTGCTTCTTTAGCATGGCTTCTGGCTTCAATACATTACTAAGAATTATTCATCACATATTTATTTTCAAATATATATATATATATATATAACCATAATTTATGATGCGATCTTAATTATAATGCAAAGTGGTAAAAATACCTGCTTTACGCCTCCTCCGATATTAGCCTGACTTTGTTCGCCAAAAAGGGTAGAAGAAGCCTGCAATTCATTTTTATTATCCTCCGATGACATCATTCCTACTACATCTTGTTGATGCCTCTCTTGTTCGGGAAAGGCGGCCGCACCACCAAGAATGGTGGTGGTGGTGGTGGTGCCGCTAGTGTTTCCGAGTACTTTCTTGCGGTACAACTCATCAAGCTCGTGGAAATAAGGGCACGTCTTGGTGTCCTCTGGTCGTTTCTTGTCGCTCTCTTTAACTTTCTTGAAGTACTTGTTTATATTTTCCCACTTCTCTTTGCATCTCTTTGCGTTTCGATTGTACCCGATTCCCTTCATGCGGGCAGATATTTCTTCCCAAAGAGGGCCCTTCGGCAATCCTGTCTCTTGATATCTGTGCTCAAGCCCACTCCTCAGCTGTATCAATGCTAATACTTCCGCCTTTGGCCATCTCGACGAAGAACCAGTCCCCCCGGTAGTTATTAATTGATCATGTTGTTGTTGTATTTGTTTTTCCGGCGGTACGACTGCCACTACCATCTCACGAGAACTATTTTCCGTTATTTTATCGGTTGGAATCATCAGTTGTTGCATGGAATAGTTATTAGTTGTTGGTGGTGGTGGAGGTGGTGGTGTGGGGTTGTGATGGGGAAGGTTGACTTTTTGACCGGTGATTTTCTCGAGAAAGGCAACAATGGCAGCGTCTCGCGAGGCGGAGATCGATCGCTCCTGAGCCATTAGATCTTGCTGCCTGGCAAGCCTAGCCATGTCTTGTCTTTTCCAAGCCTCTTCTCTGATCATTCTATCGTGCTCCCTTTTCTCAATTGCATGTAGAAACTTCTGCTGCATGGATTCTTGTTTCTGCATTACTTGCTTCACTACACCCTCCAAGAATTCCATCATTCTCTCCTCACTACTACTACTTCTACTATTGCCGCCGCTCCTCCTCTTCCTCTTGCGGCGCATCATTAGGTTTATATCATCGCCCAACTCCGCTTCCATTTCTTCATCGTCTTCTTGCTCTTCGTCTGAAGACGATGAGAAACTCACCCCAACCGTACTGAATAATGGTGGTGGAGGAGGCGGAGGAGCTGAGGGCGGCTCCCGGAGTACTGGCGGTAATGAGGTGGTGATTGGAAGAATATGATGATGATGATGGTGTACGAGGTTCTCGGAGGTGGTGGTGGTAGAAGGAGCACTAGTGTTAAGAGCCTCGAGTTGGTCGAAGAATTTGTAGCTCTTGCCGTCGTGACGACCCCCGCGGGTTTCTTTGGTTCGCTTGTAATATTTCTGCACGTTTTCGAATTTCTCTTTGCATTTTTTAGCGTTCCTTTGGTATCCCAACTCCGCCAGCTTCCTGCTTAGTACAGTTGATCAAATCAAATAAGTTGGTACACATTCACTATATATTCTAACAAAACTTTATTTATTATATTTAATAACGAATGAATTCGTAACCAACAATTTGGAAGTTCTGGGTAAATTTCATTTTCGCTGTATAGTACATCAGCTTGCAAATCACACGATAAAAGTAACATCATATTTGGCATAATTTTACGTGACGAATCCAACCTAATAAAAACCAACAAAAAATTCTGAGTTCAGTTATTGGTTCGCACTTGTTCTACAAACCAGGCCACCTTAATGTTATCTTTTATTTTATGTTCTACAATTATATTTTACTTCCTATTAATTTTACTTCAACCATGTGTATTGCACCTCCTAAAAATTTAGTATATATATGTCTGTCAAATGGCCCATATACACTAAATTAAACTAGTTAAAGAAAAAAAAAATGATTGAAGAGAGTGCTAAAATGGTTATATATTATTATTATTATTATTATTATTATTATTTCTTTTAATTTTTTTTTTTGTATGTTCAAACCAAAAAAATGATTATTTTGCACCAACTTATAACCTCAAACCAGTTGAACTATACCCATGCGGACTGAAAAATAATTATTTTTGTTTTAGTAAAGAAGAGAGAGAGTAGAATAATATAATTATGGGGATTTGCAAATAAAGGGAAAAACAAAGTTGAGAAAAGTTGGAACTGAAGAAAGTAGTAAGCATGGATTGGGTAGAAATGGATGAAGCGGATCTGTTTGTATGGAATTCAGCGAAATATTAATTAATAATTAATAAATAATGATTATGATTAGATTTAAAAGATGCGGGTCTCGTGACTCGTGATGCCAACACATTCACACACGCCCCATGTGCCCCCCCTTCCTGTCGTGCTAACAAATCTACCTTTCCTTCCTTCATTTCTTTTAGAGAGAGAGAGAGAAGAGAGAGAGAGGAGAGAGAAATTTCATTTTTCATAACATATAGTCCATATTTTAAACTTTTTATTTTATTTAATATAATGAAAATAGACAAATACTTTAATCAGAACAATTTGCAAAGAAGATTGGTTACAATAACATGCTCCTATCATTATCACACCTCTCTTTGATCTCTATTCCATTTATTCTCTATTCTTTATTTCCATTTTCCTATTCCTTTTACTTCTTTTCTTTTCTCATTTAAGTGTTAAAAATTCTTTCTTTTCCGACATTCACTAAATGTATATCTTCGAGCAAATCAAAATAATCACATGATTATATATCCTTACTCTTTATTTAATAATAATAATCCTAATTATTTATATCAAGATAAAATGATGAAATAAATAAAATTTAGTAATTGACTCTTTCAGTTTCCTACCTAAAAAATTATTTGGTACCTATTTCCATCGTATAGCAACTGTTACTGCAGCTACACTTATTACGCAATTATGACCATCCTAATTATTCCGCACAATTAATATTAATAATAAAAAAAAAAAAATTGCACCATAAATCACATTACCAATACCCAAAAGGCCAAAAAAATTAAGTAGATGTTCTTTTTATTTATTATTTGAGGTTCGGGTCCATAATTTCTTTTTAAAAGTAAAATTACATTTTTATATATGATTATTTCAATATTAATTAATTAGTATGATATTTCGTTTTAATTAACGTCTATGCTTATATAGTAATAAAATTGATAAAAGGGCTTGATTATGCATTAAAATTTAAAAATAATAATTAATACCATTATTAGAAGTTTTTTTTTTTTTTTTTAAGCTAATTAAGAGAGAGAAAAAAAATGATACTAGTACCTCGAAACTTGTTCCCAGAGAGGGCCCTTGAGGGTGGCATCGCGAAACACAGCATCCATTTCTGACCTAATCTGTAGTAGTGCCAATGTCTCCTGCCGCGGCCACCTGTTACCCGACCCTCCTCCGCCGCCTTCCGCCGCCGTCACTCTCATCATTTCTTCAAAATTATTATTCGCCGCCGGAGGTCTGCTGCTTATGGGCGACGCTGCTTCCGCTATTCCCAGATCTCCCAATTTCTGATGCTCATCAGTACCGAAATTCATCTCCCCCGCTCCGCCGCCGCCGCCGCCGCCCGCGGCGGTGCCTCCTCCTCCTCCTCCTCCCTGCTGTTGATGCTGCATAGCTGGCGGCTTAATTAATTTTCTGGATATCAATTCCAACACACACACACACACACAACTATGTGTCTGAATGCATATGTATCCTTGATTAATTATTGTTTTGATGAGAATTGAAGAAAGGTTTTTTGCTTGGGGGCCAAGGCTGAATGCGAGCTTATAATTACTGTGGAATTGCTTTTTTTATATCTTACGATTTGCAGACAAGATTTAAGATAACGACACCATCAAAACGGAAAAAAATAAAAGGTATATATGAATGCCGTAATTATAATCAATAGTTAACTGTAAATCGAGATGTGTGTTTGTATGTGTTTCTGTGTCTGTCTGTCTCTCTGTGTGTGTCTGTTAGAGAGAGAGAGAGAGGGTAGAGAGAGAGAGAGAGAAGAGAGAGAGAGTATAAAGTTAGAGATTTATGAAGGTGACGATGATTGAAGGAGAGAGAAAGAGAGAGAGAGAGAGAGAAGGGGCAAGAAATGCTACGTTGTCAGCTGCTTCACTTTGCAGCTAATAATTGCTCATACTATCTCCCGATATTCTATTATTATTAAATCTAATAATAATAATAATAATAATAATAATAATAATAATAATAATAATAATAATAATAATAATAATAATAATAATAATAATAAGTACAAATCTTTAAAACAAAATAAATAAACAGGGCCTCTTTAAATACTAGTAACTTCGTAATGACACCGTTGTTGAGTTAATATTGTCTTTCGCATAAATAAATACATTCATGTACTTTCAACTTTTCATCCCTTTTTATTCTAATGTAGTGGTAATGTATAAAAAAGTTTAGCAATGAATTTAAATTAAATAACATTTTAGAAAATAAAATTTATATTTATTTGGATGAGTTCATTTACAATGAATCTTAAATTATTAAAAATTTATTTGAAATTTTTCATTTCTCATAATTGGGTCAATTTTTATTTTAAGCTATTTAGAATCCTCTTTCTATACCCTGATTATTTTCAATTCAAATGGACTCTAAAAGATTTTTTTTTTTCTTCTTTTGAGTAGGAAAAAATAGTATTGCATCTGTTTTAAATAATAGGTATAATAAACAAATTCAAAAATATTTTTGACCTATAAAGTTTTTGAAACAATTGAATATAATCTTTTTGCTTTATTAAAAAATCTGATTATAAATTTATAACATGTACCTCATTTCGGCTTCTTTTTAGTAATTTATTTATCAACGAACCACAGCCACTCAAAGTGCACTAGGTAAATTCATACCTCGTGCAATAGTTGTTAATTGCATGGTAGATATGTAAATCATACAAGACTAGTCAGCTATGATCGACGAGTTCGACCTAAAAACTATTGTCAAAAAAAATTCGAACATGATGTAGCAACAAATTCTTATCTGCGAATTTAGACAAACAAGAAAATACTTGCACAAAGATAATTTATTGAATTAAAATAAAATATTGCGGGTTACAAACTCTAATTTAATCCTCTGATTATTCTCTCAAGAAAAATATATGATTGACTTTGAATTTCGGAGACGAGTCGTTGACTTGATCTTCTCCGGATTTGATTTGGATTTGAATAACGTCTTCCGAGGGTCTTGCGACTTGAATCTCGGATCGAACGCTGAACTTTGACGGATTTTGACTTGAAGATCTTGGAATTCTTGATGGATTTGGCCCTTCAATCTTCCTTCGATCTTGATTTGATGTTAATAACGTTAATTCGAGGGTTTAGCACCGTAATCTCGAATTAAACGCTTTAACGCCTTGATTTGATGAAGAACACCTTCGATTTGATGAACTCCTTCGATTTGATGAAGAACGCCTTGAATTTGATGAAGAACGACTTGAATATTGTAGAGAGAATTTTCTCCTACGGTTTTTATTCTTCTTGAGTTGTGTTTTGGATTGTGTAGGGAGGGTCCCTATATATAGTGGTAGAATAAGAGTCCTACTTAAAGTCTACTTGATGACGTGGCGCGATTTGATTGGCTCTCTTTAAATTGATATTTATCTCTTATAACTTGGAAGAGAAGAAATAATCATATTGGCCAATAATTAATTAATAATTATCCCCATGACTTGTCTTGCAAGACAAGGTATAATTTAATTTAGACACAATTTAATTGATTAATTTAATTAACCAATTAATTAAATTTACGCGTCTACACATGAATCAAATAATACAACGCTGTCTTGTTTCACTAACTAAGTCATCCCATACGAGTCTTACCATTTTAGCCCATTTATATTAGCATAGCTTGCTCAATCCTAAAACTTAATATATACATACTGATCAATGTCAATATTTATTATCATATATAGTTTCAAAAAGAAAAGAAAATTAATATAATTTCTAATATTAATACACTGATCATACACATATATCATAATGTAATCACATCATGTTCGTCAAATGGACCTTCATTTATTGGTCTATTTGTAATTAATTAAGGTCCACATAAGAAAATCATATAATTAATAATTAATGTAATCTCTTTCTGCATAATATCTTTCGAATTTTATAATTTAAAGCATCAATATTAATATTTGTTGCCTACTATATTATTCATATTTGAAAATATAAATTGTGCAGGAACAGAAACAGATTGTTTAAAATAATATTTATCCAAGATAAATAAATGGGAGTATTATTAATTATACCAAACAAAAAAATTGAAAAAAAGAAAAGGGGGTGGGGGCAGACAAGAACACATTGGTACAGCTGTGAGGTGGCCCTAACCATGTGAGGTAATAGAACGTGCGTGGCGTTTCTACCGGATATATATGTAATAAAACCCAACCGCCACCCAATATTATCAAATACCCCCCATCTCTCTCTATATTTATAATTTGTATCCATATGCTTTATTATTAATTACAACTTCCATTTTGTGAACTCTATCAACTCTAATTCTATTTTAGTATTTTACATATGTATTCTTAAGTGGTGGCTAGAACTAACTCTAAAATAGATTTTCGATACATACGGGTCAAAGTTTTGGTATTTAAACCCTCCATAGATTTTTGACACATACGGGTGTAATTTTTGGTTAATTTTCGACACCAACTTGTCGAAAATTGTATTTAAAAAAAAAAAGGGAACAAATTCGACACATACATGTCGAAATTTCTCAACATTTCGACATGTATGTGTCGAAAAAACACTGCATATAATTTTTTTAAGCAGCAATGTGTTTTCGACACATACATGTTGAAAATTTGAGAAATTTCGACTTTTATGAGTCGATTTATTTATTTATTTTTTAAATACAATTTTCGACAAGTTGGTGTCAAAAAATGACAAAAAAATCGACCTGTATGTGTCGAAAACTGCAGGCGAATTTAAAAAAAAAATCGACTTTGAATCTCAAAAAAGACATGAATACATACTTTAATTGGTTCTCCTTCCATGTAAACCACCATTTTATTGTCTTGTGACTCCATTTTATAAGTTTTGTGAGGTTTTGATTTTTTTGAATTTCGAGATTTTTTGGAGGGTTTGTAAGAAGATGAAGAAGAAGAGAGGGTTGGGTTTGAGTTTGGGGAGAAGAAGAGAGGGTTTGGGTTTGAGTTTGGGGAGAAGAAGAGAGTTTTTTAATTTTGGTATTGAAATGAGGAAAAATATATTTTCTTGTATAAATTATATTTTGTTTGATGAGGGAAACTTTAGTACTTTGCTATGAAAAAAAAATTATTTGTGGTATTAATTTAAGAAAAAACTTTAAAAACTTCTTTAAAACATGGTATTAGATTAGATGGTATTGAAGTGAGAAAATTTTGATATCAGTTCTAGCCTCCCCCTTCTCAAGCTATACCAAAAGAAAGTAGGGAAGGGGGAACTCAACCCTAAACCTTTACCCTATTAATAAATATTAGGTACCTACTCTTCTAATAAGGGTTGGTAATTGTTCGTAAATGTTAGAATCTACAAAACCACTCATATATATGTTATGTGTATCTCAAATGATAAATACATAACGACACTTGGTAAATAAGTGTACGACATTAGGGTTTTCAACTTTTAGATCTAATTAAGAAAAGGAAATATCAAAATTGAAACTTGTCCTACATAGAGTGAAGAGATATTAAGTGAATTTTATTGGATTAGAAAACACACGAAATTGGAAAAATTCGACTAATGAAAGCTTTACAAAAAAAAAAAAAAAAAAAAAACATATGCCTCCAATAGACGCAAAAATTGTCCAATAGTTCTTGATGATTAATGATACGAAATTATAAAAAAAAAATGTTGTTATTAATTAATAAGATGGGGTGAGTGTTGGATTATTAAAGTATAAAATGTCACAAGTTTTATTAAAAGTCCTCTTATGTTTACCATGTATCTATGCGTGTATGTATATACAAGTGTATGTATATATATAATGTATACATATTGATTCAGTAAAAAACTAATCATTTCGGCCCAATAAAAGAGAGCCCAATAAAGGCCCAATAAGGAGAAACTTGCGAGAAGCCCACTCCAGGGCGAGAAGGGAAGAAATTCGCGATCGTCGAGATGAAAGGAGGAAAACAAGGAATATTATCTGAAAAAGGGAGTAGCACCGCCGACTTGTATTTAATGCGTGTCTGCTCAAAATGTCAGAAACTGCAGAGAATATACAGGTTGGATTTGATAAATCAAGTGCTCTGGGTCTAGCTAGGAGACCTAATCAAAGGCTCTGGGGATGCGAAAGGGGAGACCCTCTCAGTAGCGAGAGGATAGAAACGAGAGCTGCAAGATATGATGTCCGACATAATTATCTTGCATTTAATATCCCCTCTTAAAGCGTCAAAAGGCGTTCAGAGAATATGCAGTCTAGGGAATAAGCAGCTCACAACACTGTTCATAACACTGTTCATCGAGAAGACAGGTGAATTTAATTTAATAAATCTCGATAAGTCTGAAACACTTCTGAAGGGACAACTAAAATAGGATTGGAGTCCGTATTTGGAATCCGTTCTCACGAGTTTTCTATAAATAGCAAGAGATTAATTTACCTAAGAGAGACTTCCTTCTTACACAAAAAAATAACAAAAAACACTTAATTATTCCTTTTCTCAAATCAAAACCGTACTGACTTGATCGTCGGAGTGCTAACTCCGGCATCAGCCCGGTTTCTTCCTTCTTGTGTTCTTATTTGCAGAATATAGGGAATCCATCAACACATACGGATTGAAGAAGCCCACCAACGAATTCGGACGAATCAAATGGCGCCGTCTGTGGGAATGAATTAAATACAAATAGCCCAAAAACTCTTTCAAGTATTTTGTTCCTTCTTCCAAAAATCACGTTCTTTCAAATCCAAAATAAATCTAAAAAAATGGGTACCCCAGTTGAAAGGACTGGTCAACCCGATCCGGTAGGGGCTGAAATTAGTCCAGTTCCGGACCCTGACTCACAGGGACTTTACCAGGGAAATACGTCGGCCCGTCAGGTGGAGGTCTTGCACACTCCGGACCCTGCAACCGCCAGGCCCACGATAACCGTAACCATGGAATCACTCCAAGCCTTACTTACAGCCGTGGTCCAG